TTCAACCACGATAGAAGTAAAAACCCCCTTCCACTATATGGTGCGTCGGCAAAATTCCCTGAACCATCTCGATTCCCAGAACCTCAGTTATTCGGAGAACCGCCGTCACCTCCACTCACTACATCGGATTAATTATTCGCTTAATCGCCTGTAATCGCCAATTCACCTTCCTTACGCAATAACCCAACCGAACTCCACTCATGTCAGCGCAATTAATCCTTCAAGCTGAACTGCCAATTCGCACCGCCAGAGATGTTCTCACAACCCTCAAATCATTCACTCTCCAGGAGACGCACGCCTCGATTGATCCAATCACATATTAATCGACGAAACAACGCGAGTTGCGCTCCGCTCAGCGCAACCTCAATTCATTACTCGCTCAACTCAACTCGCTGAGCGACCGATGGACCGCATTATGCAGCGATAGAAAACGCAGCTTGGCCGACCGAACTCAAGAATCCGATGCCTATCAAATAATGGCACGCGATCCAAATACTATTCACAACTACCTCGACGATATCAAGAACATATTACCGCCGACAACCACCAACTCCACACCTACGACGCCGTCACGTACGCAGACCGTTACGAGAGTACATCAAATACAAGTGAAATTATTCGATGGTAATAGCCGCTTCTGGCCTGCATTTCGCGACAGTTTCCGGTCAGCCGTCGAACACACTGATCTGTCACCCGTTGAAAAACTTAACTATCTACAATCCTGTTTAAGTGGAGCCGCTCCACGATCCATCGAAGGTTATGCATTAACTAATGACAATTACGCTGTTGTTTGGAAATTTCTGGAAGAAAAATACGGCGACCCAACGCAACTCAAACGCACATTTTATGCTGAACTGGAATCACTCAACGACAACAACCGTGACTTCTATCACACTTATGAAACAACTGAACGCATCCTCCGTCAGCTGGAAGTCCTCCATGACGACCTCGGAAATCCATATCTTCAATGGACGATTGAAAGAAAACAACCTCGTTGGATACTTGAAAATCTGAATCGCAAAAAACAGAAATATTCAACGTGGTCTATGAACGATACTCACAATCACTTACACTCTATCGTAAAAGTAAAACAAAGCGCTTTATCTCTTCTCAACACCAATTCCAAGTCACCTATCGCAGCAAAGCTATTATATCGCCGTTCATCTTCTATCTTTCAACAAACAACAACAAATGCTCCGTACACGTCATCAGCATTCGCTATATCAAAACGTAATACCAGTATCAACGGCTCAGCTTCTCGCACATCAACAATCATTTCTCAACCAATGCGTCAGCGCACCTCGTCTATACCGTCTTGCGCATTCTGTTCCGACAAACACTGACCGGTCAGACTCATGCAGCAAATACACATCTCTATCCGATCGAAAAGCAAGAGCAACACAACTACG